CATTACATGTTTGCACTGCTTAATATGACTTACAGTAATAGGACTCTTCTACTGAAGAGTACTTTAATAAATTATTCCAGGCATTCCGTAGATGCCATCTCTCTTTGTCTGAAGTAAGCAAGTTACATTCACCTTAAAGCATAGGATTTGGGACACACTGGGAGCTTCTTTGTTCTACACTGGTACCTTGGCTCACGAACTTAATCTGTTCCACGACTTTGTGACCCAAATTGGTTGTGATCCAAGTCAAACTTCCCCATAAGATTCAATGTAAATAAGGTTAATCCATTCTGGCCCCTTCGAATGTGGTTGTGAGCCAAATTTTGGTCACGAGCCAAGTCAAACTTCCCCATAAGGTTCAATGTAAATAAGGTTAATCTGTTCTGTAACTTATTTTTTTTAATCAGAAATTTTGAAACAAAGTGACAAAGAACAACAAAGTAACAAAGCACTGTACAGTACAGTGGAGAACACTAACCTAGGTGGGGGGGAGATTATTGTTTTGAGGGAGAGTCCCCCTCCATAAGGACATTGGCGGGATCTCTTTCAGGGGTTTCCTCTCTCTGTCTCTTAGCTGCAGGGTCAATTTTGGTGAAAAATCTGTCTGTAGTCACTTGTTTTTTCCTGTGCTGCATAACCCTCCAGAAATGAGAGACCATGTTATTGTTCGTCAGATTCAACACTGTTCGTTACATTTACGTTGGGGTGGTGCTTCTCAAAGGAACCCTGGCATGGGCACGCTCCTGCAGGAAAGACGGGCGCAATCTCAGCCATCTCCCCCCCCCCCCACAACCAGCATGATCGCGGCCATCTCCCCACCCCCCCGAGTGGGGAGAAGGCCACGATGGCAGTTGCGTTCGTGCAGGGAAAATGTGTGCGATCACAGGTGCGCTCCTGCAGGAAAGATGGGCGCAGCACAGCACAGCCGTGATCACGCATGTGTTCCCTGCACGAATGCGACTGCGATCACGGCCATCTCCCCACTCGGGGGTGAGGGGAGATGGCTGCGATCTTGGTCGCCACCCAAAGGGGAGTTTATGACCCAATTCAAAATTTTCATGACATTTTTGTTCGTGACCCAAGGCGTTTGTGAGCCAAGGTACCACTGTATATTGCTGTTGGCATTGGTGCTTTCTAACACAGGCCATATTCCACACCTGTTTCTATTTTGGAGGTGCTTCCTACCTTAAGAATAGATTTATAACTGCTATATTTAATAACTTATCTTCCGTGGCAGGAAAAAAAAACTTTGGTAGCTATCAGAAAATAGGCAATTTCAGTTTATCCAAGTTTGTTTTGCTAGGAAGAAATTTGTGTTGCATCTGAGTCTGTTTTAGTTATACTAATGCTCATGAAAGACAAGTAAGTTTACCATACAAAAATAATTGTGGTAGTTTCACATTATTTAAAAGGGTACTTTGCTGTTGTTATATTACTTTATATCCTACCTTTTTCTTCCTGCAAGGAACCCAAGGTGGCTTACATAGCGCTTCTCCTATCCATTTTATGACTGATCCGAAATTACCCAGTAAGCTTCTTGGTTGAGTGGGGACTGGAACCCAGATCTCCCAAGTCCCCAGTCCAGCACTCTAACCACCACGCCACACTGATTCTTTAGAGTTCTTTAGAGGGGAAAACCTGTGATTTTCTTGAGGGAGAAAGTCGTGGGAAAATCCAGGAGGCATACAAATTGAAGATGATGACATCTGGAAACCCTCCCCTTACAAAATTCTGTGAAAGATGCAGAATTATAATCCAGATTTAGGCTCATGCATTTGGGCCAAAGGAAAGTAGACCCTCTCTCCCTCTTCCTACAGCAGGGCCCTCCAGCCCCTGAAAATACAAGTGTTGCGGGACTATGCTAAGAACATGTACATTGCAGTGAAGGAACTACAGAGCAAATAGCATGAGATGACTTGGGAAGGAGTGCCAGACCAGATATTGCAAGAGAATACTCAGGGGAACTGTAATGACTAAGCTGGGAACAACTGTATCTGAGCTACACCATGCCGTTCCATTTTTGGAAAGTAGCAATTGAAAGATATTTCTTTAATCAATTTTATTTTCTGTATATTGTTTTATGGACCATATGTTTGAATTACTGTTGAGAGCAGCCTTAGGGATCTCATGTGGAGGGATAATAGAATAATTTCAAAATATTTTGTGCAAACAACATAGTTTTATGCATACTTCAGCAATTCGAAATCTTTTACAGAGATAGTACACATCATAATATGTAAAATGTGATACAAATTTGCAGCTATTAGAGTTGTACTTTTTCCATAAAGAATAAAATAATGCTAATTTACTAGTGCTCTGTTTCTGATTATGGCTCTTTCTTGATGTCCCTGTTTAAAAAGTGTTTAAAGTTATCTTTACCAAACATACATAGAAAAGAAGTGATCAGAAAGCTGTGACTTAAAACTAAATGCACTTTTGGAAGGTCTCTAAAAAGCCAGCACAAAAATGAGAAATATCCTTAAATTATAGAGCAACTTCTTCATTCTAGCTCAGCAATGTAGAACAAAATACAGCATTTCCCTTTCTTGTTCTTAGTTCAATTAGCATTTGATTTCTGGAATTCATGCAGCACATGGCAACTACTTCTCTTTAAAAAGTGCAGTGCTGACCTGAAGACTCTTTACATCAAAGTGATATTGAAATAAGGCATAACTTGTATAGGATTGAACAGCCAGGCTTAGATCACAGAAGAACAGTGGGTGTGTTCAAAGAAATGCCGGATGAAATAATTATGTTACATGGTTTCATCTTTCATGAATATGGTAGGATAGAAAATTATTCACTGAACAAAATTAGTATCATTACTCTGTATTAATGAAACAGAGTGAAAGGCACAACGTTACCAATCTCCATATGTATCAAAAGTGCTTATCTCTAGTTGTAAGAAGGAAGTAGTTTCCTTTGCTCATAGCATGGAGCCCCCAAGCTTCTGTTGTACGTACAGCAAATTTTACAGCACATGTCACAACAAAAAGACATGCTTGTACTATAGTGGCTACCAGAGAAGCTAAGGTAGAATGCTAAATTTTGGCTCTGGATGAGCATTTGCCCTTCATAAGTCTACGCTGTATAAATGGTGAACATTGTAATCCTCTCCTGTTATCCCAAATGCAAGAAAAGAAGTAGATTTCAGGACATACTGTAGATCTCTGGGAGCTTTCAGACTGAGAGCTTTAAGTCCTGTCCCGTAGTTTTTCCAAACTTTGCTGCATAAATATTGTGGGTGGGTGGATGTTCCATTAACAACCTTTTGTGGGTCTAATATATCTAAGAGACAGCGTACATTGTTTTCACAATGTGCACTGCTTTTTTTAGCAATTTATTTTAAATTACTACTAAAACAGTTTGGTGTAATTGTGGAAATAACTTTATAACATCAGTGTAAGAGAAAAGTCATTTAAAAGGGCAAGCCATAAAAGAGCACATGGTCGCTAGATGGTGTCTAGGCTGCCATGTGGTTCTTGAAAAACCCAGCGCCAACCTCAGAAGCTTGCTCTGAGGGCAGAGCTAGGACTCTGGACTTGGAGGACTCTTTCTCTGCCCTTGCAGTCAAGGCAGAAAGAGTTACTCCAGCTGCAACCCAGAGATTGCAAGAGCAACCTTAAAGACAGAGTTTGTGGGCCTTATGATGAGTAGGGAGGAAGGAGACAGGCACCTCCTCATGCGCCAGGGCAACACATGTGGGTGGTTGAGCGTCACCATCTAAGGGCTTTGCAGCATGAAAGAAGCACAGAAGTGACCTCCTCCTACCCTCCATAGGATGGACGGCCCATAATTGTCTTAGTGTGGAGAATTACAGTGGTACCTTGGCTCACGAACTTAATCCGTTCCAGGACTCTGGTCGTGATCCAAACTGGTCATGAGCCAAGTCAAATTTCCCCATAAGGGTCAATGTAAATAAGGTTAATCCGTTCTGCAACTATTTTTTTACTCACAAACATTTGAAGCGAAGGGACAAAGAACAAAGATCACAGCCATCTCCCCCCCCCCCAGCGATCATGTGGGGGGATGGGGGGAGACGGGCGCGATCGTGGGCATGCTGGGGGGGCGGGGGGGAGGTGGGCATGGGTGCAGGCGTGCTTGGGCAGGGAACATGGGCACAATTGCAGCCATCTCCCCCCCCCCAGCACGACTGTGATCGTGCCCATGCAGGGAAGGCGGGTGCGCTTGTGATCGTCACCCAATGCAGAGTTCGTGACCTGCAGCAAAATATTTATGAAATTTCTGTTCGCGACTCGATTTGGTCATGAACTGAGACGTTCGTGAGCCAAGGTACCACTGTATGGGCAGCTTCACTGGATTGTGCTGTAACAGAACTGAAAAGGAGATTTTTTAAAAAACAAGCTGCTAAAATACTGCTTCCCAGCCAAGTGATAGTGAAAGATAATAGCAAAGGTGTGTCAGACTGATGAGGAACGTGAATGAAGGCCAACCCTGCTTTAAACATCACCTCACATGAAGCCTTTTGTGAAAACACCAAGGGATAGTAATGGGGAAGTTTTCTTAATGCGAACAAATTGCTGCCCCAGTGAAATCAGTAAGCTTGCACCTATTTCAGAGCATGATAGCATATTGACTGAATTGGACATTAGAGTACTGAGGCAACATTCCAGTCAATTTTAATTGCTCATACAATGAGCTTTGTATATGGGATTAAGAGAACTACTCTTATATAACACTTGGACATCTATAGAATTAAGAAGAACCCTTCCATTGTCATGTTGCATGGGGTTTTGAAAGTCTCTTGCTTCAACAAATGTTTGCCCTGCAACCTGATGTTCAAAAAACCAAAGTTCATCCTTGCCTGAGATATGCAACATTTGTTGCATGAGTTCTTGTTTCTTCTGCATGTTTATGCACCAGTTCCTTGATAAGCAACTATTATTTTCTAGCATTGTACAATGGACATTGCCTCTATATCTTACAGAATGTTTATGGTATTACAAAGCTTTGTCATTGTTGCTGTTGCCTCTTTCCAGAACCATGACCATTCATGTATAGCCTGCAGGATCATCTATCGGTCAGACGAACACCACCCTCCAATTTTACCTCCAAAGGCGGATTTGACTATTGGATTACACGGGGAATGGGTGAGCCAGCGCTGTGAAGTGCGTCCTGAAGTGCTCTTTCTGACTAGGCACTTCATCTTCCATGACAACAACCATACCTGGGAAGGCCACTACTATCATTATTCTGATCCGGTCTGCAAGCACCCCACTTTCACTATCTATGCCAAGGGTCGCTACAGCAGAGGGATACATTCCTCCAGAGTGATGGGTGGAACAGAATTTGTATTTAAAGGTAAGAATTCTTGAGTTCCAGTGTGCTGTAGGCTTATACTGTATTGCATCCATACACTCAGACTAAAGGCACAAGTTGGTGGGGGTTTCAGAGAAGAACACTATGTAATCCTGCAATGGTCAAAGACTATAACCACTCTTCTCCATCCAGTGTGGGCATCAGTGGGCAGAATCCAACACTGACAGCTTCTGCACCAGCAGTATCCACCACTGCAGTGTCAATGTAGCATTTACAGGACAATGCATGTGTCTGGAAGGAGGCAGGTGTGCAGACCTACCATGAGGCCTCCACTGATCTGTCTGGTTCCACAGATGAGTGTTTCCACTTTTTTTCCAAAGCTTTATCTAAGATGCACAAGCTGCCCCTTGCATAAGTTGTTGATCATGCTTGCAAAAAATAAAAATAATAAAAAAATCAGAATCTACCACTTGCAGAAAAGAATGGGTGGGAACAGAAACACCCCTCATAATACCCCAGTATTTCTGGGCAGCCTGTCAAGGGTCATAACCAATTGGATTTAAGGGATGTCCAGCCTTTTTATGACAATGGCACGTTTCAGATTTTGAAAGCTTTTCATGGACACTCCCATAAAATACTTGCCTTCCATTTCCAGGATACAAGCCAACAAGGCTTTAAAAAAGAAAGCTTGTCACCTGGATACAAGGTAAAAGTGGAATTGAAACACTACAACCAAAAAATCCTTTGAATTCACTTTTCTGCTCCGACACTCATTGCTCAGCAGGTGGGTTGGTGAGGCTCAGAGATGAGTCATTTGGCCAAGAAACTGGGTCCAAAGCCAAAATGGGGTCTAGGCCTTAAATGCCACAGTTTTTATTTGCATTCCACACTGCACAACCAAATACCAATTTCACAGCACCAGAATGGTAAGTCTTAGAGAAATACAGAGACAAAATACCTACACTCATTTTAATGCTCGTCTAAGAATGTGCACACCCAGGCAAAACTAGGTACCACACCAAAACAAACAATCCACTTAATAGCACACTGAAATAAAGGTCACTGACTATAGTGTGGATGCCAACCTCCCAGGAGTTTGTTGTTGTTTTTAAAACATAGCTTAAGATTTATATAATCAGGAGGGGCAGGAAGCCCAGGAGGCACCAAGGGCCCCAGAAATAATCAAAGAAAGCATACGATGGCTCTAAAATGAAACCTGCCTGTGCTTAAAGGGCAGCACAGTTGGTGTTTGTTACTAGAGAGAAAGAGAGAATACCAAATGCCTGCAGATCTGCTCAACATGGCTGCCTCTGCTAGTAGATGATGCTGTTTAGACCTTGCCTGACAAATAAATGAATTCATTTGACTGGCCTCCCAAACCCAGCACTGTGTTTGGAACAACTTTCATGACTATAATATACAGGATTGTCTCTCTGTTGCTAAAGATACATGAAAAGGAAACTTTTGTTGTTGTTGTTATTTTTTTTAACTTTCCACACAAATGAATTAAATCATGCCACCCAAATTTGAAACAGGGCAACTTCAGTTTATTTGAATTTCCCTTTGTGGAGGCCTCTTCAGTTCAGCTGTAAATCAAAACTAAAATGATTTAAATTACTTTTAAATTAAATCTAGTCAGTCGTCTCAGGATCAGGAGAACTTGGCAGATATAAATCATGGTTGTTTCTTTAAACTGCTGAAGTTTATAGATTATCCACTCCTCAAGATGTTGTGCACATGAAGCCTTAAAAGTGAGGATAATATATGATGGTAATGGAACTGGCATTTGCTGAGGTTTTTGGTTTCCATTTGGAACTGGTTACTTCATTAGCAAATATACGTTAAAAGACATAACTCTATATCCTGACTAAAGAAGAACGTTTGAATGAAATTTGAGTGCAGTTTTATAGCATCCTCTCTCTTTTATATTCTCATGAAAAGCAACTTGGTTTTATTTGCAGGTTTGCCTGGGGCAGGGTAATTGTGAAACAGAAACTCTCTGACTTCCCTATCGAGAAATCAGTCCCACTACTTCTTTCCTCCTGTTCCTTGCAGGCTTATTATGTGTAAACCTGAAACAATAATAGTCAATTTGCTGAGCACACTCTTAGCGCAGGAGTTGAAATTCTTTTGAAAATGAGTCCTCAGACTGAGTATTTCACTGATCCTAGCAGAATTAGCCAATTAAGTCAAACATGATCAAAGTACAGATTTTTACATTCAAATTTGAAGATTTGTTAACATATCTAACATTTCTGTTAATTACGTTTTCTAGGTAAACCTGCCCTAGTTGTCAATGCTATGTGTACACAGCAATAATCACACTCTTGTCATTTATTATTTATTAATTTATTTAGGAAGCTTCTATGCTGCCCCATTTGCCAAAGCCTTGGGGTGGCTCACATCAATAAATAAATAATCACAATATAAAAACAATATTATTTGGGAGAATAGGGCTAGATTTAGTCCCAGTTGGTTCGCTTTCCTGCTGAACTGGTTTGATTTCTGCTTTTCTAACAGAGCTTCTGACAGGCAGCTGCTGCTGCCCTGTATGAAAAATCAATCACTCAATCACATCAATCACTCTTTTTAAAAAGCTTGCTTAATGCTGCTTCTTTATTCTAAATTATTTATTCTTTATAAATTTAATTTATTCTTCTTTATTCTAAATTATTCTAATGCTGCTTCTTTTATCCTTAATGCTGCTTCTTTATTCCTTTATTCTAAAGGAAAAGCAGTCATGGGACTCTGATCTGGCACTGTATTGCCAGTGCAGATCAGAGTCCTGTGCTGGTTTCTCACCCAACAAGTCCCCCATGAGTGTGTGTGGGAGGGTACTATTCATCCTCCCCCAGCCCCCTGACCCCAAATTTTGACTAGGATTTTTTTTAATCATCTACTTGGCTAGGAAGCACTGCCCTTACTCTCAACTGAGACTGTGGTTTAGTGGCAGAGCAGCAGGTAAACATGCAGAAGGAGCACTGTTCAATTCCTGGTAACCCAAAGTAAGGGCGTAAAAACTGTCTGAAACTGGAGAGCTGTTACCAGTCGCTGTCAGCAGTACAAGGCTATGACCAGCAGTGGTCAGTACTAACTCGGTCATAGACAGCTTCCTCTACCCGTCAATCAGGTTCCTCTGGACCCAGTGATCCCACCACTGAGATTCCTGATTGGTTGGGCCCAGTCAAGAAAGAAGAAAGAGAAATGAACAGCAGCGTACAAACCTCAAATGTCTTTAACAGGGTAACACGTGCATTGACGGAGGAGAGTCTATGTATAGTTGTTAATCAGGGGAGTAAGCAGAAACTGCAAGTTTAGAAGAAGCATACCTCTGAAAAATAGTTGCCGAGGGCAAACAAGAGGGGGGAAATGTCGGTCTTCATGACCTTTTTGTGGTCTTCCCCTAAAGTATCTGGCTGGCCACTGCTGGAAACAGGATGCAGACAAAGGAATGGACAAAGGAACAGGATTTCCAATTAACTGAATGGTATAAAGAAAGTTGGAATGTAGCTGTTAATGATAAGTTAATGTGTGGAATTAAGGTGAAAAAGAGGGCTGATAAATAAGAATGATTTTAATGATATATGGGGTTTGTTTATTGAACGTGCATTAGTAAAAGGGAAGGTTATTAAACCTTTGAATTTTTCAGTGCACTTCTGAACAGATGGGGATACTCCTGAAAGAGCAGAAATGTAAAAGAAAAAGTAAGGAAGAAGGAGGAAGTTAAAGAATATATACTATGTAGCCATGATGGGATGCACTAGTTGTTTATATATACTGTCTTGTGCTGTTATTTCTTTTTATTCTTTATTCAATGTATTTTTATATTTGTATTGTTGTATTTTAGTAGTTTAAATAAAAATAAAAATACCCCCACCAAAAAAAGGAAACCCGATGCTGGACTGGAGGATCCCTGAATCTTCTGAAGTGGAATCTTCCACTTAGTCCAAAACTGAACTTTGTACAATAAGCTACAAGTGGTTTTAAACCACTTTTCTAATTCCTTATATTTCCACTTGCATTGAACTTTACAACAATAATGTAAAGATCCAGTTCAAAAATAAATGCTATTTCTATCAAAAACATTGGCTGTGTTCACAGAAAATGACAACCGATGCTCAAGGCTGAGTGTGCCTCATGGTTTGTTGTTGAACACAGGTGGTTTTGTGTGAACCTAGAAGTGCTAACAAAGCATGGTTTATTAACCACAGACTACCCACAAAAAGAACCCATAGTTCATTAACATGTTTGAGTTTGCACAGAACAACCACTCATGCTTCATCAACAACCCACACAGAACCCACACTCCGAACTGAGTGGGTAATCACATTGTATGAACCCAGTCGGCGTATTTCTAACTTTTTAAAAACAGCATCAAGTCCTGACCGAAATGGGTTTAAGCAATGGCAAAACTGTAATGCTTCAAAACAAGTTAAGAGTCCCTTTGTTCTTCTTGCAGTGAATCATATGAAAGTTACACCTATGGACATAGCTACAGCCTCTCTACTGAACGTCTTCGATGGAAATGAGTGTGGAGCAGAAGGATCATGGCAAGTGGGTGTGCAGCAAGATGTCACCCACACCAATGGCTGTGTCGCTCTGGGGATCCGCCTACCTCACACGGAGTATGAGATCTTCAAAATGGAGCAGGACGCCAAGGGGAGATACTTGCTGTATAATGGGCAGAGGCCAAGTGATGGATCCAGCCCAGACAGACCAGAGAAGAGGGCCACGTCTTACCAAATGCCCTTAATTCAATGCACTTCTTCAGCACCCCGAGCAGATGGAACACTAGAAGAAAATAAACTTGGATGGTACAGTAGTGGCTCACCAGCAAGGAATCTATTTGCATTTTTTTGGGCTGTGATGCTGGCTAGTTGTACTGTGCCACACTTGGGCATTCACAGCTAGAAATAAATTCTGAAATGACTTCAATCAGGACAGTGTAGGATTTGGGATACATGGGAATGTGGGAGGCATCTTTTCAGACAGAAAAAGGACTTTTTATGCACTTCAGTGCCTGAGAACTGTAGTTCATTTCCTCTTTCCCTCTCTTTGAATCATGAACAGCACTCACTTGTTTCTGCTTTGAACTTCATCCAGTCTGTTCTATGGCCTAACATGACTCACAACAGTAATTGCACTTTAGGACTGCAGTCTCTTTCCTTTCTTTATTTCTTTTTTTTTTTAAACCCTACTAGAATGAACGAAAATATTTTATCCAACCTTTCTTCTGCCAACTTTGCTGTTGCAGTCCATCCGACCCATAACATCAGTTTCTGCTTGGAATTTAATTATCAGGAATTATGCTTTTATCGTATTGTGTCAATACTGGTAAATTGCATCATTCTTATGCTACAATTTGTATATATGTATATATGAAAAACCCAACCAAGGATTTATCTAAATACACATTTATAGAATTTACATAAAATAGTATGATTTTTGGAGACAAGAATACTGACTGGAAAAATTTCTGTTTAAACCTGCAAAGATAAATTATATATATAGAATTTAAAAATAATCAAAGATACGTGACACCAGCATTCCCTTAGTGTGGCTCAAAGCATAACAGTTTAATCATTTCCTGGGCTTCACCAACTGGTCATAATCAAGAAACTAAGGAAAAAGGAAACAGGGCCAAAAACGGGTATAGAAATGGCAAGTTTTCAAACATCTCTTGTACAAGATAGGTTAAAAAAGAATTCAGATTAGCTGTGGTAGAGAATAACAATTTACAGAAAGTCAAATGAAAGCCAAATTATAAAATTTATTTGACTTGACAAAGTAGAGAAATAAAAAATTAAATGACATTTCTTTCCTGGGTATCGAACAGGGTGTCATATCTTTTTCTTTAGAATCACAATAGCCCCTTTACCTAATACCACAATGACAAGGCTCAGATACGTTTCCCATACATGTTATTGTACTGACATCTACCTCAGTTGTTGACATTGTGAGGCAGCTTCAAACCATGATATAGAAAGTAATGATGGACTATGCCCATGCATAAGGTAAACCACAAAGTTGGACAAGGCCATTTGCATAATAGAAGTTCTTTCACCTTCTGAGGTCATTCTGTGGACTACAGACATTCCCATTGTAACAGCAAGCAAAGTGGCTATCATGATCTCCATTACTTGTTTCACAGAGTGATCCTATGGCTCTGAAACGTCATCTGGGAGCACCATGGGATACTTTGGCTTTGCAGCTCTGAGCTCAGTCACAGCATTTGGAGTGTTCCCTTCATCCGTTCAGCCGCCACAGAAACTACTGTACCAGCTGCCTCTTTGAGGTTGGAAAAGTGACCTCAGAGAGGGGATAAAATGGACTTTTGGGGGAAGGGGAGGAGCCTGGGTCTAACCACACCGGTTTCCTGCCCTCCCACTGAGCTTCTCAACCAGAATCATCTCTGCCACCCCTCCCACTCTGTGCTGAATGCTCACAACTCTCGGGTTGCAAGCACTGAGGGTGCCACCCATAAGATTGGGCCCTAAAGGACTAAACAAGAAACTATCTGGCCATTTCTTCTGTTTGCCAACATACACTAAAGGCTATATTTGAGTTTTCAAATCTTGGAAAGAAATGAGTGAAAATGAAGTAACACAACCAGGTTTGCCTGATAAGGGCCCTGCTGGATCAAGCTAAAAGCCCAGCTAGCCCAGGATTTTGTTCTACCAGTCACAGTCAGGACATGATCACAATAGCTCCTTCCTGCTCCTTAACAGCTAGCATTGTAAAACATTTTCTCTTTGATACTGGAGGCAATATTTACTCGTCATAACTAATAGCCATTGGTAAACCTGCACTTGTCTAACCCCGTCCAAATCAGCAGCACATTCCATATTTAATGATGTGCTATATGGAGAATGATTTCCTTTTATTTATCCTAAGTCTCCCACCATCTTTATCAGACAACCCTGAATTCCAGTCCTATGACAAAGGGACAATAAACTCTTTATCCACTTTGCAAATTTTCATGCATTTCTATATTTCTACACAAATCCTTTACTTGCTTTTTCCTCTACGAAAGAGACCCAAATGTTGTAATTATCCCGCTCAGAGAAATTGTTTCAGGCCCTTGATAATTTTGGTTACCATTTGCTACAGCCTTTCCTACTCTACAATATCCTTTCTGAGATATGGGGCCTAGAGGTATCCTTAGTATTCAAAGTGTGATTGTACCAAAGATTTGTATGAAGGCATTATACACTGAGAGTTTCAATTTTGTTCCCTTTCTCATTGATACCCCCAACTTGGAATTTGCCTTTTTCAGAGAAACCACAGTTCACACAATGCTCACATTCAGGGATTAAATATAGGTTAAGTGTGGGTTGTCATTGAACCATGAGTTGTTGAAACATGGATTGTGTTATCTGAATCCAGCTGCAGTTACAATGCATGAGCTGTTAACCACAAAGAGCCCAGAACTCATGGTTTGGTTTTGGGTTGTGAGCAATGGATTCTTCATTTCAATTTACTATGTAAACACAGCCACTGGCTTTCCCTATCATGTTCTGTCATTGCCAGCTCAGCCCACATCAGTATATATGTGAAATTGGCTTGGCTTGGCTTGGCTTGGCTTTTTTGCCCCAGTTTATCACAGCTGCTTACCTTGAATTGTACCTGGTATTGTAATGCCTGTTCCCCTAATTAGGAGCTGCTTTTGGTACACTTTACTATCCCTTTTTGTTTGTCATCTGGATTGTTCGTGGCTTATTAATGCAGCTGGATTCAGATAACATGACAATCCACATTTCAACAACTCATTCAACCCACACTCAACCTGTAGTCAAATCCTGCCCATGGGTTATTCTGTGTGAAATGTAGCTGCTTCTGAGAAAGGCAAATTCCAAGTTGGGGTATCATTTGGAAAGGGATAAAAAATAGAACGATCATTCTCAGAATACCTTTGTACAAATCTATGGTACAGCCACACTTTGAAAACTGAGGATACCTCCAGGCACTGCATATCAAAAAAGATATTGTGAGCAAGCTTGGTTAGCTTACTGCTCACCCTAGACTCCCTGTCTCCTTTCATTATGGGTGACAACTTCTGCTTAGAAGTCCATGGTAAATTTCTGGTCATCTTCTAAGAATTTACAGATAGACTAAGATTGTAATCTAGCTGGTTATCGTGATTATAGCTTGGGACTACATTTACAAGAGAATTATTTGTTAAAGAATATTGTAGCAATTATAGGAAGAAAAATTACAAGAAGATCCTGTCCTGAATGATTATTTTAAATAAATAAGAAGGCCACATTTCAATGAATAGAACAGTAGCTGTTAAGAACCTCATACTATTTATGAAATACATAATTATTACATTTTAAATCTACAGAGAGAAGCTTGGAACATAGAAGAGTAGTAATTACATCCCAACCTGAAGTGGTTCTCACATAATGGTGCTCTTCCATATATACATTTCAGTTTGCATCAAGACAGGAAGGACTTAACAGCCATATTACAGCACAGAGATAGCTGCACTTAGTCTTGTTGATTTCAGTGGCCTTTGTGGTGGCTTTGTGGAAGTAGCTTGCATTATTAGACTATAACGACAAATAACAAACTCACACAAGAGCCCAATAAGAAAGCAACTGAAAAGCATTTCTGTCTTGTTTACCAACTCAGTATCTAAGACTGTACAGTAAGATATTTCAAGGTTGGGTGCTTTGTTTTGTTTTGTTTTGTTTTGTTTTCAGTTCAGTTTGTTGTTGCTGGTTTTCCAGCCAGCTGGTAATTTCAGAATATTTTAGAACAAATACAGCCATTGAGAAACAACAAACCTCCTGACCATGCATTTTAGATTAGCTCCACTGAATATCTCATCTAAAGCTTGGTTTGCCTGAATGTTAGGCAACTGTAAACTTGGTTGGTAACTGGTTGCAGTGCAGGTGGAAGAGGTGGGCTGTTCATGCAGAGGTTGCTGGATACCAAACGTTAACCAGGGCATGCTTCAGACTTAGGCTTTCTGATCCAGGATTGTTTTCCTACTCTACCAATCATTCCAGCCCCTGGTGTTTTACTTACTGAACCAGACAGTTGGCTGTGCTTCCAGAGACTAGCAAGTGGGGCAATCAAAATTTTCAACCTAAATTGGTGCTGCCTTAACAATCATCTGTTGTCAGGCTAGGCAGGAGCCATGGGGGTGGAGAGGATGAACTGGACTCTGAAGTCAATTCGGTCCAGACCTTGTCCACTCTCTCAGCTTCCATACGACCCCATGTAAGATCCAGCTTGCACTAAGTGGGTATTTTGATACGGACACTTTCTGCACACAGCTCATCCCTCCCCTCCCACAAGACTCCAAGAGTGAGTCATGAAATCACCCTCCTTTTATGGTTTAATAGAAATCATATGTGCAATACATCTGAAGGCTTCATTGTCAGACACTTTACCATTTTTTAGTTTCTGTTCTTAAAGTAAATGACTTGGATTTGCTGCTTAGCACATGATGCATTTTTCTCTTTAATGCTAGTAAGTCCCCAAATGTGTCTGCAAGTGGGAGGGAATGACACTTACACACATAATGCAAAACTTTTCAGCAATATTCATGCCTTTCTTTTGATCCCTGTTACCACCAATTTAAATTGACTTCTTGAAATCAGTTGTACCTTTAAGTAGTTTCAGTTACTGACCCCTTAACTATTTACATAATAATACCTTTACTTAATTAAAACTTTTATATCCTCAGGTACAAGCTACATTTCTGCTAATCACATTGGTACAAGTCAACTTATTATTCTTATACCGCCCCCCCCCCCCAAAAAAAAACCTCTTAGGGACTGTTTTAAAAGTCTCTACATGGCCAAGTTATCCAGTTGCTGAAAAGGTGGTGAATTTCAGAACTGGGTTTCAGAAATTGCAACCTCATGATTAGTCCAGATAGCCTCCAGACTATAAACAGACTCACTACCAGTAGACATCTTCAAAAACAAAACAAAACAAAGCCTGAGCCCTTCCTACAATGGGCCTATTCTTTCCGACCCCTAAGGCTGCCTAGTGCCCAAAGCATCTCTGTAGAACTCTCTTCCCCAGCCGGGTATCTTCCAGATGTGATGAACTTCAACTCCCAGTATCCCCTGCCAATAAAGAGTCACTGTCCGGCCTGCTCGGAGTTGCAGCCTAACACACCTGAAGGGCATCCGGTTGAGGAAGCCTGCTCTGTGGACAACCTGAAAGTGCACACAAGAAGCCGGGTTTCCAATGTCTCCCGGCCCAATTCATTGCAAGCTCGAGAACATCTGGGCTTTAAGGATGGAGCCTATAAGTCTCCTCCTATCAGACAGTACTGTTACTTGCACCTTACCTATGTAAGGATACATTGCTTGAGAAGGGGAGGTACTGCTGTTTATACATAGGAGCAATTTCTCCTGGCCTTGTTCTTTCCTTTTTAATTTTATTATTATTTTACCTTTTTTTTTTTTCTTTGGAAGGCCCTTGGAAAGACCAAGTTTGTTTGAGTGTTCTCTGGCCAGCTTATTTCTCTCCGGAGACTTGCTCATCACTGAACAGGAATGCATGGCTTTGTTTGTTTTCAATAAAAAATAGACCCATTTTATTTTATAACTAACATGGAAGAGCTAAGGAAATATTAGCACTGGTAGTAGCAATGAAATTGTCATATTGAGATGTTTAGAGCAAGATGTTCAGATGGTGCAGTATCCAACAGGACCTTTTTGCTAGAGCAAGTTTTTGAACCATGTGCAAAAAGGTTCATTTGCAAATTTTACATTTATAAGGTGGTCTGCTAGCAGTTGTGCAAGGAGAAAAAGCAGCAGAACTCTGCTAGTACCGCAATTTCTGCCGCTAATGGTTTTCAGGATTTAGGTCCAAAGATAGAATTACACATACCTCAAATGTGAACTGTTGTCAAGAAACTTTATATATAGCACAATATATAAGGCCCAAAGAACAGAAAACAAGAGAGACAACCCATATATAAGTCACAAATTAAACTCAGGTCCAGTCCTACATGATAAGGGTGTACTTATCATGTGAAAACCCCATTCATTGAAGATTCTTAGGGTTTGTTTGTTTCTTCCTGCCCTGGTATTAATGCTTGGCAGAAAATCTAGCCAATAGAAAGGGAGCTTATTCATCCTGAAGTAATTCAAGCTTCAAGGTTGGCAGACAATTGTCTACATATATTTGGCTCTGGGCTCTAAACTGAGAGTCTAGCATGCTGCCATGGGATGCTCACCACTCCCAAAAAGGCATCATGCTGTAAAGGGTTAGAATTTAAAGTGGTTGAATATTGCATATAAACCCAAGAATTATTTTTAATATCTATTATTTTTGTAACATTTTTCATTCTTCATTCCCAAGTGCATTTTCCAGTTTAAAGTGCCTGGGAGTTTTGAGAACTCGATTATAAAATGTTGAAATGTTGTTTAAATAAAGAGAAAAAAAAACAGCCCTAAAATTTCTCAGAGTTTTACTAATGGTGTGTACATGCTTGACCAGCAGATAGTCGCATCTTTGCAAACTGTAACACTTTTATGGTAAGCTTTATTGCTGGGGCTTTTGGGAGGGGTAGGTGGAAAAAGACAGCATATTGATACTATATTGAAGAATATATAACCAGACAAGCAGGTGTTAAATGTAAATATTTTGATAGAATTAGCGGTTTAAGCTGATTTACCATTATATTTGCCACCCATAAAATTATAGGGCATGGTCAAAGAATGCTGCAGTATTGCAAGTAATTGCCATTCAGAAAGCACTTAAATTTGTCTGATATCCTTGTTCAGGAGTTGCTTTCCATGTCATCTCCACACTGTTCTTTCATTTTCCTTGACATGAAAATAATATTACCCCAGGCTT